GGGGGGGGGGGGGGGAATCCCTGCAGGAATGTTGCAAAATAAGCAGAACCAATTATCAAAGGAATCTATTTCAAAGATGTTAAGTGTGCATGGGAACAAGAGGAAAAATTAAGAGTTTCAATCTTATTTTCTTGAAGCAGAATAAGAATCAGTTTACTTGTAAATCTGGGATCTAAATGTTTGTTTCTTGAAACTCTCTCAGTGTTGCCCACCCCCACCCTCTCCTATTTGGCACAAAGAAGAAAAACATTTTCTGAAGTTCCAAGGGCTTGAGAAATGTGTGTGTGTGTGTGTGTGTGTGTGTGTTTGTACGTGTACATGTACCTCTCACATTTTAGAATTGCTGATGTGAGAAGACTTAAGAGTTCTAGTAGATTGCTCAGAACTGGCAGTGAGGCAGAAAATTCAAGCTTGAATGAAAAGTGGAAAGGGGATCCAGGTTTTGTGTGCAGTTTTGCAGCAGGCTCTGTAGCAAGGTTTTGTAATCATCATCTTTCAGCCAGACAGCTGTGTCTTGTGGACATTTTGCAGTCTCACAGCATCTCGTCCATTGCAGGAAACTACCCCACATGACAGAGGGCCGGGAGATTCTGGGACCAATAGGAGAGAATAGAGGTAGCTCAAGGTTGAATTATTGGGTTCGTGGTGTTCTCTGAGCTTGTTTTTTTTCTTGCAGACATTTCTTTACCAGGCTAGGTAACATCATCAGGGAGAGGGAGAATGGGGTTTGCTGGCTATTTATTAATAGTAGCTTGCCCTGCCTGTCTTGGTTGGGGTGCAGTTTTTCCTTGGTGGTTCCTGGATTACGGTATTGTTTCTTCCCTGATTGTTTATTTGGTGCTGTTTCCTACTTATCTGGGGGAGTGTGTGTGTGTGTGTATGTGTTCTAGGCTGTTTGTTTCCTTCCTAGGCTTTTGATTGCATCATTTGAACGGTACGTAAATAAGGTTTATCTCTATGTGTGCAGTGATGACTGATTTGTCTGAATGCCAAGCTTCCAGGAATTCCCTAGCACTTTTGGATTCTGGGAATTGTAGTCCCAATACATCTAGAGGTTATCAGGTTGAAGGCCGGCCTAGAGTATCTGGTTATAGAGTCAGCCAGGGACCTAGTGGTCCCCTTTCCCCAGAATGCAGGAAAGATCCAGCCCAACTCAAGGTGTTTTGGAGGGGCAGAGAAGAAAAGAGACTCAGGTCCCTGTTGTAGGCTTTCCGGCACTTTGCAGTCAAAAGTTGCAGAACAATATGAAGCAAAAACAGAGCATGTGTCTAGCATCAATAAAACCAAGAAAAACTAGTGATCTAAAACTGGAAACGAAGCAACCATAAACATCTTTTCTGAAAAGTCCAGGGGAATCCAGTCATTTTAACCAAATGGTGAGAACTGGAAAGCAAGTAAATGACCTTTCAGGAAGAAGGTCCAACCTAAAGAAGGCCTTGTTGCTGCTGAGGATCTGCTTAACTCCTGGAGATGATCCCTCTGCATCAGGGGCTCATATGGTAATTGCCAGGTTTTCCTCGCCTTGCTTTGAAGACGTGTGGCCTAAAGCACCTATCATACTTTCCTCGGTCTGATTTACCTATTCCAGCACTGCAAATGGAGTAGCATAATGAACCCCAAATGTACATACAGTACTGATATCAGTCCTGGATTCGGTTTTCTGAAGATGATTAGGTTATGTGAATGGTCTTCATGTAATCCAATGATAGCTTTGGGTTCAAGGACATAGGTGTTCTAGGTTCATTTTTTTTTTTCTGTTTGCATCTCTTTCTTGCCTCACAATTTTTGATCTGCAGCAGTAATACTATTTGTTCCATTCTTAGTCCTTTGCAGACTTAATCAGTATTTTTCATTTGCCCAGAGCTGGAAGCTTAGCCAGCACTCTTATGTCATCTGCTGAAGAGCATAATCATCATGTTCTGGCCACAATGAACCATAACAGAACCTAATATAAGCAGTAAGACAGGTCACCTTCTGAGCAAGCAAAAAGTTGGATATGAACATTATGCAAGAGGGTGCCTTTTGAGGAGGAATCTATGAGAGAATGAGGGGTGGCTGGGAAAGGAATGGAAGAAAGAGCTGATATAAACAATCAAGAGATGATGGGCAAGTCAGCTGACAGCTTATCTCATAAATGGCAACTTAGCCCAGGTGGAAAGAAATCAATCATTCAAAGAGATTCCACCTTAAATAACTCATTATAAATGAACCAGAATCAAATCTACTGTCAGCCATGGAAACTCATGGGATGACTTTGGGCCAGTGACTTTCTCTCAGCCCAGTCCACACTCTAGAGGTGGTGGTAATGACCTATAAAGCCTTACATGGCATGGGACTGGGTTATTTGAGGGACCACCTCTCCTCAGTTACATCTGCCCGTCCCATCAGGTCTGGTAGGAGGGGCATGTTGCAGGTCCTGTCAGCCAGGAAGTGTTGTCTGGAGGGACCCAGGAAGACAGCCTTTTCTGCCATGGCACCTGCCCTGTGGAATATCATTCACTGGGATATCAAATTGACCCCAAACGTACTGGCTTTTCGCAAGGCCCTAAAACCATGGTTTTACCTTCCTGCATGGGGACCCTGGAATGTGATGGAGCTGGTGCAATGGCTTTACTGATGTTTTGATGAATGGGATTGCCTCAGCTGTAAGTTTTATATATTTTATGATTTTTTAATTTGCTTTTGTATTTTTTTTCCTTAATTGTGTTGTTCTTTTTTGTTGTTTTTATGTTTGTTTTAATTGTTTGTAAGCCACCCAGAGTCATATGTATGAATTGGGCAGCTATATAAATTTGAATAACAAGTAAATAGAATTACTGTGGGGATAAAATGAAGAGAGATTCCCATGTTAGTTGCTCCTGGAGGAAAGGCAGGATATGGAGCTAGTAAATTTGTTACGCAAGTTTAGTGAACCAGTTAAATGTGATAGGTAGATGGTAAGACCCTTGTTTTTTTAAAAAACGTCATCTGAATTGGACAGGATGCAATGTAGCATCTGCAAAATGTCATAGAAAGGAACTTATATGTTTTCCTTTCAGTGGGATGAGCAAAGATCTGTAACAATCTGAAGCAGTTCTCATACTCATCATTGATCAGATTTAAACCATAGTTTCTTCATTGCACAGTGATAGTCCTTTCCTTTAAAAGCAGTTTGTGGTGATTTCAAAGGCTGAGACACCCATTTACCTTCTTGAACCTTCTCCCCAAACTTCAAAAAATGCCAAAAAAGAGCTAAAGACTTTGGCACTGCCTCCTTTAAGACTGCAAAAGGGAGGCTAATGGGCTGCATGGCATCCCTGTGGGTTGCAATTTTTGTGTTCCTCTTTGAAAAATTGTGAAAGGGTTGATGACCTTTTGAGGTCAGGACTGCAATTAATATTTCCTAAAGTTCAGGAAGAATCCTTAAGAGCTGACTTCTTTAATTGATTACTGGTATTTCTATGCCATTGAGTCCAAAACATCTCCAAGCAGCATGTTAACCATTTCCAGTGGGTTCCATCTTTTGATGAACCAGAACAGTACTTCATGGGAAGACCAGCTACCATTCCATTGCTGACAGTGCCCTCTACATGGTATGTTTTAAGTAAATCATCTCTTTTTCTCCTTAGAGAAACTTGTGGCCAGGATTATTCTGAAATATTAAATGGCATTTTAAGTGGCAACAGTAAGATGGTTGAGTAAGAGTCTTTGAAGCCCACCCAAAAAGACTTAATAATCTAATTCAGAGTCATAACACTCTTTTTGCAAAGAGTTGAGAAGACAGCAGTTAATTACCTTTCAGGAATGGCCATTTGTAGAGCATTTTTCTGTAATTGCCAAACCACATTATTAAAGAGTTTAATAGCATGCAAGATCTAGCCATGGAGCTTTAAAAATGGATGCCCCTCAAACCTTTTGAGCCTATATCTTCTCCCTAAAGGCCAAACCAGTTGTTATGTTAATTGCATGAATTCAGCTAGCGTTATGTTAATAGCAGCTCTGGGAAAGCCTGAGCATCCTCCTGACTAGGTGGGTGGAGATAAAAATAAAAAGGTATGCTTTTCTTCTCCTCCTGGCCATCTCTCCCTTCCTCCCACCCAAAAAAAGAAATTGTCTCTGAAGGTGCTCCTTGCATTTAAATGCACTGATATTTGGAGGGTTTTTTTAAAGTAAGTAACACGTTCGCAAAGACACTTTTTGTTGGAAGAGAGAGGCAAAGAAAGGTGCTTTCCCTGCTATGCTCTCATTCTGATGGCTGATCAGGCTTCCCCTCTTCTTTGGGGTGTTTTCTTGCAACAGAAATAATGTCTATGAATTGTGTGAGTTCAACTAAACACGCGTCTTGTCTTTGTCCCTAACTCCCATGGTGGTACTGTGCCAGTTGCAACGAGAATTGTACACCACTGATATAAATCCCATAGATATTACTGATTTTCATGCCCTCCTCTAATCAGGCAATTAGAAAACCTTTTGGCAGATGGTCACCATGCAGTTAAGAATTTGACCTTGGCAGGTCTCTGTGATGGGAAACTGCCAGCTTTCCAATTCTGGGCCAACGGAAAGGTGTTTAGCCCAAGTTCAAGTGCAGTAGCTGACCCGGAACAGTCTCTTTGCTGTCTGCTTAAGAGAGAGAGCAAGAAATAAGCCAAGAAGAGCAAAGCACATTGATCCTTCCCTAATTCCTTTTCAATTCCCCCCCCCCCAGTTTTAGATTATAGCAATGTAAGGAAAAAAACCCCCTAGATTGTGTTCCTCTTGGTGCTTTCCATGTGGTCACTTCTACTAAACAATGTCCTTTGGTATAGAACAGGAATGGGCTACCTGAAGTCCTAGGACTGCGCATGGCCTCCCAAACCCCAGCATTTGGGGCTCAGTTTCCAATCATTTTGAGGCAGGAGGTATGCCAAAGCTGCACTGTAAGACCTAAGCTAGGCCGTCCATTGTTGGTGCAAAGATTGTGGCCCTTCCTGCATAGATGTTAATGGCAGTCCCAGCGTCCAAAATACTGTCCTCTCCTGGAATTGTAGGTGGTATCTGGTAGGAGCTGATGCATCATCCTCCATAGAATTGCTCTTTGTCTAGTTGTCTAGTGATCTGCCCAATATTAGGCCCACTAACTACTGACATTGCTGGACAGCTCCTTCACCTCCCTTAGAGTGCTGCTGTAATAAGACAATGCTGAACTATGAGATTTAATTCATGTGTTTTATCCAATTTAACTAAATAGTCCCATTCTTATCAGTTGCACAGCAGGTTGATCATGCAGGAATGGTGCTGTATCGGTGTACACTATGACATGCTTTTGCATATCATAGTTTCATATACTATACAGAAAGCCCCCAATATATGTTATGTCCGTTGATTTACTGATCCTGGAATAGTGCTTGTTACCTAGTGAAATAATGACTTAATTTTGGGTTGAAAGAAGAACTCTATTGAGACGACGATTTCATAATGATTGTGTGGGTTGATGGGTCAGCACTCAACAAAAAATCATCCAAGTAAACAGAAATGTGCAAAAGCTGCTGGGAACACAATTCCATTTAAATAGCAACCAATGTATATGCTTGTTAAGATAAGCTATGTTTTGGGCATTTCATATTGGAAATGGTAGATAGTTCCAATAAATGTGCAGTAAATAGAGTGTTAAAAGCACGTGTTCCTTCAAGATGCTGTTCAGTGAATAAAAACGTATAAAAGACCAAGTTAGCGTTGGGCCAAACTTTTGAACGATAGAAAAAGTAGTTGTGTTTTAAAGAGAACACGTGTGGCTGCTTAGCCCAGTATCTTCCCACTATTTGCTTGTTCAAAATGGCTCTCTGTAGGGTTTTTCCCCTTCCCACTTTCTCATAGAGGCCACAGTCCATACCTTTCTGCTTGCAAGGGAAAAAACACTTTTGGGGAGGGGGTAAAGTTTTGGGTGGACAAAGTAAGGAAAGGAAAAAGGTTGAAAAACTCCTTGTTCCTTTCTCTTCCCTCCACCTTTTCCTTCTGTGTCCCATTCCTTTTCCTAATGTTTCATACCTTACGGAGCATAGAGGCTCTCTTGGTAGCACTGGCTAAACATCAGTGTGGCAGGGACCAGCATCCACTGCTAGCCTGGATAATGGAAAGACAGCACACACCCAGGCCACTGTGACACAAATCCTGTCCTCATGTACTTGGTGTCAAATTACATACGTTGCAGGGGCTTTATCATGAGGCACATTTTGTAACTCCCCACCCCACCAGATGCCTATGATGACAGTGTCAGAAGTAAATACATTGTAATGTGGTTTCAGTAGGATTTGTTCGGCTTTCATTTGTTTGTTGTTTGCCAGCAAACTCTCATACTATCAAGGCTAAAAATCTTGGACCAAGGTATGGCTTTGTGAATGCAAGATGGGAATATAAATTTAACAAGCATAATGTAATATTACATACATAATCTGCCATGGTAATGTTTTAGCAAGTCAAGAAGTGAAAGTGGGTACCTTTACTGTACCGTAAAGTTATAATTCTCCATCTTCCAGTCTCTGCTTACTCAGCTCCCCCAGTTTCGTCAAGCATAGCTTACATGCTGTTGAAAACCCATTTTAAGCAGCATTAGTAGACTCAGAAATTAGACATCTCTTTCCACTGTCTTGGTAGGAGATACAATATTAGCTTGTAAGATCCAAGCTAGCTAATTACATCTGAAGACACTTTCCAAAATTATTGGGGTGAATATTTGTAGAATTCTCTCCTAGTTAAAGGGTACATCCTGTTTTAACTCTCTTGCTATATTTATTTACCTGGACTAAGGATGAGCTTCCAGTTAGACTTGTGAAGGATGTCTAACTAAATAAAAGCCAACCAATCTTATCAGTGTTAGTTTCTTAAGAAGGTGAAAAGAAAACCAGGAACTGTTAAACAGTAGCAAGTTTTGCCCCTTAGGAGAGAAGGCAGGGTAGAGCCTTTAGTGAAATATTCAGCTGCATACAGATCTTCTAGACTTGCAATGAGCAAAATGATAATCAGAGATTAATATTATCAAGTAGTTCACAAGAAGCCACTTAATCATCAGAATATATTTCTAAAACCCTAAGGATGTTTGAACAGCAGAACATCTTGACTAGAGAACATCTAAACTTGTGCTTGGAGTTCTGAAGGAGCTCTTGATAGCCAAACTCTTTCATATCCTGCCCATAGCAATAAATATTGGAAGGCTTTTTTCGACTGAAATCTGTTCTGTTCTACTTTGCAGATTAGCTTTCCTCTGTTTCACCTGTTTGTTTGCTTATTCTTGCAGACATGAAGATCTGGAGAAGTTGGAAGTGGATCCTACCAAGTATTCCTTCCCTGATGTGACAAATATTGTCCATAAAAAGGATTGGATTGGACAAGGACCTTTAAGGCTTCAACAGCCCAAAGTCGTGGACACCAAGAACGTGGCTGTGAGCTTTGAAGATAACCCAGAAGTTCCACCTTTAATTTAAAGAACTAATCCAGAGATAGCTCCTTTTGAGTTTAGAACACCATTAAGGTACATGCTTTTTATCTAATTATCTTGTGTGTATACACACACATACACACACACACACACATATTTACATACATACATATACCTATTTACTATTCTCGTCTCTGGTGGAAATTGAAATGCTTGCCAAAATTCGTGTCCAGCTCTGTTAAACAGTATGTCAGGCCAGGATTATATGCATCTTGTTTCACACGGTTCTTTCTTCAACCCCAATACAAGTATGAATTGTTGTTGGGGCAGAAGCATTCTTAGTGATAATTACTGGCTTCCAGTTGGTGAGCAGTCTGTGATTGACGCCTGGCCCTTTTTACATGCATGCAGTGCACACAATGTCCATTAAAATGGAACGGGGCTTTGATTGACCGGTGGCACCCACCATTTTGAAGGCAGCAATCATTTCTGGGGATCCTTGTTTGGGGATATGAGGCATAAAGAATTTTTTTTTTTTGGTGCCTGATGTTTAGGAAGCTCAGGGTGAATTTAAGAATTATATCATTACCCTGTGTAGTCAGAGGGCATCATGGTAAATAGTAATATTGAGCATTCCTCAAGATGTCCCGAACTACTGTGATTCCAACAAAATGTTGGAGAAACTTATAGACATATAGCCAAAAGAAGAAAATGTAAATGAATATGGCAAGTGAATGCCATGCTCAACTTTTCTTCCTAGCTGGTTTAAATCCTTTGGCTTGTTTCCTCACCTCCCCCACGATTTTTGCTTATCTCAGTTTTAAACAATTTCTATATATGCACCTTTCTTTCTTTTTAATTTTAGGCACTCTAGTACGGATGAAGGAAGGGCCATGCTCCTTTCTACCAGGGGCACTTGTTAGCTTGTCCACCAACCACAGTTGCAGTCTCTCCCCTCTTTTCACTCCCACCACCCTATCCAAGTTAACTCTTAGTAGCTCAGTAAGGTAAGCCTTTGAAAGCAGTAGTGGCAGCATTTTGTTCTTCAAATATAGCCTTTACTGATTTATCTTTCTTGCTTCAAATTATTGGGTCTCATTTTCACTAAAATTGTATGCCTGGAGTCATCCCACTTTAAAACTACAGGTTAGGGTTCATGTTGTCAAATGTTCTTCCCAGTTATAGAGAAGGGTTGTAACCTGGTATACATAGGTATCCATGTAGAAGGAAGTGTTGGCATAGAACTCCATACAACTATACAGGACCTGCACCTTGAAGTTTGAAATGGTTTGGTTGAAACACAGGTGTTACCACCTCAATGAAAAGCAGGAAACCCAAACACAAAGCGTTCGTGTAAAGTATTCATTCTAGATCCCAAGCCGGTGATTGCAGCACAGCTGTTCCATAGGAAATTATCTTCCTGTATTAGATGCCTATGAAAATCTATGTATCCAGTATAGTAGAGACTGGAATTTATGCTGCAATAAAGATAATTTTGAGATATCGCAGCACTGCTGTTCCTTTGGCATTTGAGTGTTCTTGGGGATTTGGGAGAGGATTTCCAGGATATAAGACCTGTCCTTTTAGCATTTTCACCCAAGGGCGATTGCACCACTTCTGAATGGTCTTCATGCTCCTCATGTCATCAGTGTTCAGCAGCTGAGCCAGTTAATTTTTCAGCTCAGCTGCAGTTCAACCCAAAATAGTGAATCCAGTTTCCAGTTGAGGAGCTGGAGCTCTGTGGAACTTAGATGATGGGCCATTTCCCCTGGTTGGAAATGCTGCTTTGTCCTTCTTCCTGGCTGCTGGTTCCATCTCTGCACCCTTACCCCCACCGAGTTAAGCCATCATAGTATTGTACTGTTATTTTGTTGCTGTTGTAATACACTGAGCAGAGGAATGGGGCCTTGCTGATGTGACATCTGGGTAGCTTTGCAGCCCCCTTTAGTTTTCACCATTTAGATGCTTTAAATACCACACAGAACAGCCAGGGATGGGGTGAGGCATTGTTTGAATGCTGGTATTTTTGTTTGTTTTCTTTTGTTTTGAACCCTGCTTCTGGAATTCTCTTCATCCCCTTAACAATAGCTTTGCTGTAGGTCCTAGGACCAAGAGGGAGGCAATGGAGCAATCACCAAAATTCTAAGCACTTGCCTTTCCCCTAGGGGATGGCATTGGGGATTTTTTTCCCCCTGCAGTCCTGGACTGAACTGAAGCATTTTTTAACTTAATCTTTCTTTGCCAACTTCTCCCTCCACACCCAATTTGGCCCTGTTCATTCCATTTTCAGAGACTTGTCCTAATGATGAATAGAATTCTGAAACTCTCTACGTAATTTCTTTTCAAGGGTTGGAAAGAATAAAAGGGATGCAAAGCAATAAATGATTCTCACAGTGTACAAATGATCCAGTGGTCCTGGGCCAGACTTAAAATGGGGTAGGTCCTGAGATCTATAAATTATCTTTGGAGGATGAAAGAATCTCTGGAAGCCATACATATGGGAGACAGATATATAGATAAATGCTTCTGAATCTGGCTGTGCTTCTCTACTAAAAAATTAGATAAGCCAGTTCAAAGATACTGTTAGGTGACTTGGTGGCCCAAGAAACATTGGCAAGAGGAAACTAGTAATTTAATCAATACAGAATTCACAATCAAAGACAGTTAACAGCCTCCCCAGGATCTGTGGTTTCAAGTTCCTGTTGGCTTTTAAGACTCTTATTGCTGCCCTTCTTGAAAGAAACTGAATACTTTAGCCAATTTTCCTGAGCCTCACAACACATCACACAAACTCTGTATGTGTGTATAGCAGGCTGAACTGCTCTACAACACTGCTTTTTTCACGTCCTCACAGGAAGTTGGAACCATACCACTAGAGCCAACTGCAGGTTTTGGATTCATCTGGGAAGACTCAGGTTAAAGTCCACCCTTGATCATGCAAGTTCACCAGGTGACTTTGAGCCAAGCAGTCTCTTTCTTTCTCTCTCTCTCAGCCCAACCTACCTCTCAGAGTTGTTGTGTGGAAAAAGCACTCTCTACGCTACCTTGAGAAAGATGGGGTATCACTCTAACAATGAAATACTCTTTAACTTAGCTGCCATCTTCCCCGTCTGGTGATGATTATGTGAAGAGATCTACAGAATTAGACCAAGCTGTCTAATTCTAGATACCAACAATGAACGATGGTGGCCTTCGGGGCCAATCTTACTAGAAGACTGAATGAGCCAATAGCCTAAGGTGGCATGCTGAGAAGGAGAGGTGGCAAGGGGTCTTTGCTACTCCTCCTAAATTGCCTAGTGCTTCCCTTCTTTGGATGCCAGCATTTGTATGCCGCATATCCCACCCTGAAGCTCTTAAATTTATCTGCTCCCTCTGGATTAAAAACAAGATACATTCTAGTAGACTTCTATATATGGAATAAAAGGGGGGGGGATCTTGTTAGTCTAGATTGTTAAGCTTAGTTATCCCATCTATAGAAATGACTGCTATCATATGTCATGACCACCAGTTGAGACGATTTTAACAGGAGCGTAGATAGATTCATCAAGATTGGTTCAAAGAATGGCTATTGATTTTGAAGGATGTACAGTGCCTAAAGATTTAATGGTGTGTGTGTGGGGGTGTTAATTCTCATGTATAGGGATCAGTGAAAGTGGGCTAGTACCTTGTTGACTTTGTGAAGTTCCCAAATGCATCTGATTGGCTCCTGTTTGTCCCAGAATGCAGAACTACATGGACCCTTGGTCTGATCCTGCATGGCTCCTCCCTTTATCTCATAAATGTCTTTATCTCATGTCTTGGTGGGGTGAGATGAAACTTCAGAGAATCATTGTCCTGGTTGTAACAATTATGGTGCTAGAATAAAATGCCATGTTTTCATGTTCACTTTGCTACATGAAAATGTAAGATGTAAGATGCTACCTAAGATGTAAGACTTTAAATGGAACACCACTAGAGCTGGCCTTGTCACTGCTCTTAAAATGCAGACCTCATATTAACATACATTACACCAGCTTTGAAATTCTGCACTTTTATAGAGAAGTGACAAAAATGCATTCTAATAAAGTATCCTATAAATTTGCATCACCTCAAAATGGGGCATATCTTTCAGAGTGATGTGTCTTCTGTAGCAAGCATGAATAAAGGTCAATAAGGAATGATTTATTGTGGGGGTTTTTTTTATGGTGCCCTCCACAAGGAGCTGTTCAATGGTTCTGTATTCCCCCAACATTGGATTTATTACTGGCAGTCTGTGAGGTGACTCAGACCTTCTCAGTTTGCCCTTGAAGGGGTAATTCGGAAAGTTGGCAGGTCATTTTAAAAAAGTCCACTTAACTCAAGGAAACTTAAACGTGATTTTTATGTTAAAGGATATTGCAATCCCTGGATGTCTTCATTTTCTAAAAATAACCATGGAGTAAGAGTGGCAGGATTTGATTAATGAAACTAAGGACAAATTAGCTGACAAATTGGGGGGGGGGAGGAGGCATTGTTAAGTCTTATCTTGGGTTGTGTTTTTACCTAGAGAGAATCTTAGGCATTACATTAAAAACAGAAGAATAATTGCATAGAACCTAAGAACACAATAAGAAATCTGCAGACATCAATAATTAAAGACAGCCAAAATAAATGCAAACCAAGAAAAATAATAGTTCAAAAGAATACAAACCAAGAACTAAAATGTCTTCATAAAGAGCTAAAACCACTAAAGATGACATAGACAGACTAGCATTGTCTGTGCTGATGCACAATTCAAAAGTATCAAAGCATCCAGGTCTACTGCAGATGAACCCTTGGAACGGTGATTGGCCACGGGTTGGAGCAGGGAAATTCTACAAGTTAAATGTGTGTAGAGATTTGAAGTAACAAGCAAATTATTTCAATTTTATAACTAGTTCAGTCCTGGAGGTTCAATTCAAAATGTTGCACGTGAGTTTTATAGCTCTCAAATAGAGGGAGAGGTCACCTGTGTGTTCTTAGACACTATCAGCTCTATTATGTGGGCGTAGATTTAGCTGACTTACGCACTCTTGATCCCTCTAAAGC